TTTCAGTTCCCTAAGTGCAAATTTGTGAATGTTCTCGTTCTGTTTTCTTCGTAGGATATGGAACCAAATACCTTTCCTGTTCCATCTTACCCAGTTAACCAGCATCCTCAGCAGGCTTACCACCAGTCTTACTACCCATCTCCGCCATACCAGGCACCACAACCGCAGAAGCTGCCGACAAGGTTAGTTGAGTTACTGCAAATGACTATTGACAGTTGCACTGATGTACATAGATTGTCATTGCCTGCATCTCTGTCGGCATTAGGGCGTTTCGTCACGTACTGTGCGGAAGCAGGACTGACCTTGCACTGAAAGAAGTCTCTTCTTCATTTCACACTGGGGAACTGAAGTGCTGTTACCCGTAGCGCTCGTTTTACACGCTGTCATGGCTACATTTTGATTAACAGGTTTCAGAATGCTTTTCTGGGGACAGATTAGTCCTGCATACAGGTGAATAAAATGCCTCTCAAAATAGCAGTTTAAAAAAAATTACTCAAAAATTGCCATTTCGCTGATTCATGAATGTTACTGCCAAGTACAGGATCATTCCTCATTGGCTTTGAACAGAAAGTTTTCCTTTATTTTTCATTTTACTTTTTAATTGTATTTCTAAGATGTAATGCCTATGCCATAAAACATCCAGAAAGTGCAAGGGATTGAGAGGGAGTGCTTTAGAATTGTTTGTGTTGGTGAGAAACGCCTGGGGGGTCTTTAAACTATTTTGGGAAAAACGGTGTGTTAACAGACTGGGGTTCGCTGAGGATTTCGAGCAGCAGAAAGCAGCGTCTGGCCATGGCGTGTGCGAAATGGGTCTTGGTCAGGGGAGCTGGGAGTGGGGAAGCAGCACGGCTGGCCGGGGGGTCCCTGCGGTGGCCGCAGCACCGGTGCCAGGCGAGGGGGAGCGGGAGGTGCGTGTCGGACGCAGGCACCGGGCTGACGGCAGCTTCTCTGTCCTCCCGCAGGCCGCCGCCGCCGCAGCAGAAGTGTGTACCTCAGGGACCTCCGCCGCCGCAGCAGAAGTGTTTACCTCAGGGACAGTATTTTCCTTCTCGACCGGCACCTTTGCCTCCCAAATAGCTTTTGGCTTCTTTGGGGCCTTCACGTGAGCTTGACCTGTTCACTGAGACAAAGCTGAAATTGCAGTTACCCTTCTTGCTTGCGTGGCCCGTGGTAATCCCGGAAAGCCCTCCTTCTGCAGCCTGGGGTAAGGCAAATGAGATAGCGAAATGAGGAATGTAAAACTTCAAACTAAATATCTCTACCAAAGCTACAGGGACTGAAAACATCGAACCCGTTCTTAGATCTGTCCGAGCATTGTGGCTTTGTGAACTGCAGCAGGGCAGTGGAGCAGCCTGTGGTCGAATAATCTCTGAAGTACAGCACTTGGGAGTTGCTTTTGGTTTCCCCGTTTCTGTGGTGAGCCCTCATAATGAAATTGTTGGATTGGTTGTCGTCTTTAACGAAGAATTGAAGTAACCCATACTGTTTTCAAAACAAGGAAATCTGGCCAATCAATTTAAGATTCTTTTGCATGGACTGGAAAATGTTACCCATTCACACACTAATGGCACAAGAGAAGTAAGGTTATCAGTGTGCTTTTTCAGAGGAAGAGAAATACATTGTAAACATGTTTATGCATGTATATATGTGTATTGATGTGTAATAATGCACTTAAATTCTTACTTTCATGCTGACTGACACTAAGCTGTGCTATATGAGCACTAAGTTTGATGGTTTCAAATTAGTAATTGTGAGTTGCTAAATGAGAATCCTGTACTAATTTCCACTAATACCATGAATGGGTAATGAAAATAAAGGTACGAAAAGACATGGCCATATTTTGGTTTTAAAAACTGGGGTGCTCTTAGGTTTTGATTTGTATCTGAAGACTGAGTAGCAGTCCCTGCAGAACACTGAGAAGCAAGCAAGGGTGGTCTGCCTAGACCGCCGGAGCTTCTCTGAGCACTTTAAACAGGAACCTGTTGGCTAATGCAACCTTTTCACCCCGTCCTCAAACCTTTTTGGTGTCAGTCAGGATGCTTACAGGCTACCATGTGCTAGACTGGGCTGCTCTCCGTTTCTACACCACTGACTAGACTAGATTTTAAAAGTCTTTCTGAAGAGGAGTGTTTCGCACTTGGTGTGCTGGCCGAGGAGATCTGTTAATCGTGATGCTGTTGTGCCGTGGGTGGAAGCTGGATCCTGCTGGGCACCAGTGGATATCTGTTGCACAAACTTGCTAAAAGTGAAGCAAGTACTGAAAGGAGTGCTTGGCTTTCTCACTTTGTGCTAGCCACTGAGTACAAACTCTGTAAAACCCCCAATAATATTGCCAAAAAAATATATTTTCCTCTGTAAATACATATATATGAATATATATAGTGTTTGCATTTGCAGTAATAAAATACTTGAACTCCTGTGGTTTCCCATAAACTTAGACTAAGATTTATAACACTATTAAAATGTGTAAAACGTCACCTAGAATATCAGCAGACGTATTGGTGGGGGTTTTCTGTTTGTTCCAAGTTACTCACTTCCTAATGTTTGTTGTCTTCTGCTCCGTTTGGGCTGTCCGTGAGGATGAGCTGTGCAGCCGACTGAGGCCGATGCCCGCGCCACCGCCGCTCCGGGCAGCTCGCGGCCGGGGGGGACGAGAGGAGGGGATCGGGGGAGGGGTGTAATTAACTGTGTTTGAAGCTGTATGTGTGAACTAAAACTATGCTGAAAACGGTGCCTTTTAATAGATACAGAGTTTTTATACTTCCAGCACGCGCATTGGCAATATTTGCAGGGGGTGGTGCAGGGCCGTGAGCATTGGTTTTTAGACGCGATCCTGGGCAAAGGAAATGGCTCGAACCGTGCGGGTGTCGAACGGTGGAAATGACTGCTGGCTCTTTCTCAAAGCGCACGCTGGTCCCTGTCCCCGAGCAGGTCTGGAGGCGGCGGCGGTGCCCG